AACTGGGTACCTTTTGTTATACAGGGTGGCCATAAAGTTCATGTGCAATTTTTGGCACATGAACTTTATGGCCACCTGGCGTATCCCTCACATTTTTTCCAGATTGAACAATGTTTCAAATCCAGCTTTCTAGGATTCTTAGTTCCTATTTTGCCACTCCCTTTACACTGTGGTTAACTGAATATCTAAGTGGCAGACCTCAAGACATTCTGCTTTCTGGTAACTTCTATACAACTTAACACTCACTCAGCCTGCCCCATTCTATCAGAATTCTTACCAGTTTAAGGCAGTTAAAAGGCACTTGCATAAGTTGTGGTACTAAAGAAAACTACCAGGCTGCTTCTATATTGAAGCAGTAACTTGTGTTCCTGAAATTTCATAAGCTTTAATGTTTTGCTATCTAGATGATGTAAGAACTTGAAAGGTTAGAAAATTAAGAATAGGGATTAACACAAGTTTGGGAAAGGGGAAGGCACTGTAAGTAGAGAGAAGATTCTACTTCACTTAGTAATTTCCATTTGTAGACCAGGAAGCAATTTGTTCAGATTCTGCTTGCCCTGAAGAGGCAGGCTTCCTTCCAGGCTAGGAGAAGGATTCGGGAAGGGGAGTAACCATGGCAACCTGCCCAGCTATGTGGGCAAGGATAGTATGGGACCTACGCACATTCAAGAATTTTTATTTCTAGCCTAGTCACTCAGTTTAGTCTGGGTGGTCGCTCCCTTCCCACTTTCTTCTGTTTTAATGCTGACTTGGGGAAAGATTGCTCCTTCTCTGCAGGGAGTCTAAGAGGGTGTGGGGAAGACTTAAATGAATCAGGCAAGGTCATCTTGACCAAACCAAAGTGCCTGCTTCTAGGTAGGTCCAGAGCGGACATCACTCCATGTCTGTTCTAGGATGAGCACAAGCAAACGCTGGCTGTGTTAATATATATATTTTTTTGAGATAAGAGTCTCACTTTTTTACCCTCAGGAGAGTGCCATAGCATTGTAGCTCACAGTGACCTCAAACTCTTGGGCTCAAGTGATCCTTTTGCCTCAGTTTTTCATTTTTAGTAGAGACAGGGTCTCACTCTTGCTCAGGCTGGTCTTGAACTACAGAGCCCAGTGATCTACCTGTCATGGGCTCCCAGAGTGCTAGGATTACAGCAGGCATGAGCCACTATGCCGGACTGGCTGTGTTAATATTAAAGGCTTGAATAATTAACCATTTCCAGGAAGGTGAGGGGTATCCAATTCTGATGAATTCTTTATTTTCCTTTAGTTTCCACAAAGACTATACATAACTTGGTTGGGAGGAGGGCAACACACACACACCCTTCGAAATCAGATGAAATAAAGTATTCTAAATAGGTTAGATTAATAGTCTTCCCAAAAACCCTGGGGTAGATATTATTATTCTCCCCAGATAAGAAAGCTAAAGTTGGGCCGGGTGAAGTGGCTCATGCCTCTAATCCCAGAACTCTGGGAGGCCCAGGCGGGTGGATTGCCTGAGTTCAGGAGATGGTCTCTAAAAATAGCTGGGTATCATGGAAGGCACCTGTAGTCCCAGTTACTTGGAAGGCTGAGGGAAGAGGATAGCTTGAGCCCAAGAGTTTGAGGTTGCTGTGAGCTATGACACCATGGCATTCTACCAAGGGTGACAAAGTGAGACTCTGTCTCAAAAAAAAAAAAATGCCAAGCTAAAGTCCAGAGAGATTAATACACTGTGCTCTAGGCCATGGAATCTGCAGTCCTATAGCTAGGATCTAAATTTAGGCGGCCCCACTCCCAACCACTACCCAATGATGCCAAAAGGGAGGTAGCAACTAGTATGTGAATGTCCATACCCGGCATCATTTGTTCCCCTCATCAGGAATTTGCCTGTTTTTTGTCTTTAAGAAATGACTAGGTAGGCTGCTTTCCTTCTGGTTCTCACAATTAATCTCGTTAGGATATGTTGTCATGAGTTAAATTTCCCTTAAACACACATATTTGATGGTAATGCTATTTCATCTAAATGTGATTAGGGTCAACCTCTGTGCAATTTGGTGACGTAGCTTCGGCTTTAGAATTACATAACATCAGCAGATAGAATTTTAAAATACCATGTCCTGTTACTCAGGTGTTTCATATTGCCAATCTAGTTCCCACTGTGTTTCTGTCTGAAGGGTAGGAAACCTTATGTGTTGCGTTAGTTACCTAAACCTCCTGCCTTGTCTGCTTTCAAACCTTTCCAGCTGGGGATGTATGTTGTGATGAGCACCTAGGGCAACTTAAAACCCCAGGACAGCTCAGTTTCCCATAGCCTTCCCAAGTATTTCAGCATCTTAGCTTTGTCTTTAAGAAAAGCAATAATTAAATCCTCAAGTGAAGAGAATGAGGAAGAGTATCACATGACTCCCTCAAAACTATCCAGGTAAAAAAGTCGGTAGTTCCAAAGTTTTATGGACATAGGACGGTAGAATCAGAAATGAAGCGGCACATATTCGCTGTACACGTACGAACAAGAGCCAGTGTCTCCACAAAGCCTCCTGCTGGCCAGGAGCTACTCTGCAAGGCCAATCCATGTATTCCTGCTTTCTTCATGTCCAGGTAATCAAGGCATGGTTGAGGTGCCCAATAAATATCACTCCCAATTTGGCCTCCAACTGCCAGCGGTCCTAGTAGCACCTTCATGCCAACAAATGCCTTAGAAGCAACACCCTTCAACCCAAACAAGACTTATGGGTGAAATCCTTTTAGCCTTTGAACCAAGGCAACAAATAGGCCTAATGTGAAGGAATTTGGACTTTCAGTTTAATCTAAAACTATAAAGCAGAAATGCAAACACGGGATTTTCTCCTTAACAAGTGCTCCCTCCTCTGGCTTACATCCTCAGGTGAAGACCAACTTGTCCAAGATCACCAGAATGTGATCAAAAACGTATGTGTTAGAGCTCAAAGTTGGAAGACATTCCTCTATCATCTACTTATTGGGATCATGCATTAAAACATAGGAGGGGGTGGGTGTGGTTGCTTACACCTGTAATCCTATCACTTTGGAAGGCCAAGGTAGGATTGCTTGAAGCCAGGATGTGCCTAGACAATAGCAAGATCCCATCTCTCCAAAAATTTTGGAACTTAGCCAAGCATGGTAGTGTGTGCTCACATTTCCAACTACTGGGGAGGCTGAGGCAGGAGATCGCTTAAGTCCAGAAGGTGGACAGTATAGTGAGTTATGATGATTGCCACCATTCTTCAGCTGGGGCCCTAGAGCAATACCCTGTCTCAAAAGACAAATAAACCACAAACATTGGTGGGTATAGCTTAAGAAGAACCAGTTTCCAGTCAGTCATTTGGATAAGAAGAGAGAGATCTATCTGGGAGTGGGAAGGGAAGGAGGAAGTTAAGCTATTCACCAATAAGAAAAAAAAAATCCAGTTGGCCTTAGAAGAAACCGTTTAAGAATTTGTGTTACGTCTCAGAAATACACATTGCCAAGACTACCCAGCCTCCTCCGTGCTTTCTCTAGGAGACTTTCTCCATTGCACTCTCTGTGCTGTAGTAACTGTGGAATTGTTAATTTCCACATATCTAGCACTTCACCAAAAAGTCTTTCCCAAAGATCCAGGGGGGCTCAAACCTCAAATACTCCTAAATTCTCAAGGCAATACACCTTTTTTACAGTGTCATTGAGGAGGCCTGTCTGCCTTCAAGGAGAGCAGAGATAGAACTTGGGGTGGATGGGGTCCCTGGCTGGGAGAAAAGTAGCCTGGTCAGGGTCTGGCTGTGGGGTAAGAAGCAAGCTCAGGGACAAGCCCTCTGGCAGTGTCAGTGCTCCGTGGGGTCTACCAGTTCCTTCCTCCCCAATAGCCAGTAGGCGCTTCTGTGTGAAGAGCCAAGCTGAAGATTGAAAGGAGGATCAATTATACATTCCATCAAAGCCATTCCAGGAGGCTTATCTAGAAGGCATTTGTAGCCGCCTTCTTTCCTTTGCCATTACTTCTGATGTCCTACCTTCTTCTCCCCTACTCCCCTGCTTTGCCTTATTAAGGCCAGAAATTTTTTCATTAAGTCACTTTATAGAGCAATAGCAACATTTACTATTCATGAAGTTGCCCCTCCATAATTTTTAAGTCTTTCCATGTGTCTGGAAGTTTGTTTCTGTTCTTCTCGTTTTACAGAGTGGTTCTCTTCCTTCCAAACACAAACTAAAAAGAAAGGGGAAGAGGTGGGGGGATGGTGGATGGGGTGGAGATAACATCCAGATTCCTTAAGTGTTTTTAATCCAGTTAAATTTCCCTTTAGACTCAAACAGCTCCCTGCTGAAACTAACTGCAGACCCGAATTCCAAGCCCAGAATTAAGTCAAAAGGGAAAGACATAGAAGCAATTAACAGTCAGCTCTATGCTATGAAAACTGCTACGTTGACTGGAGCTCCGTGGTTTTAACCGGTTCATTTTTCCCCGCTTTTCTAAAATTCTTACTTAATCTTTTTAACCAGCTTACTGCAGTCAAGGAAGCACCATCGCAACCCTGCACCCTGCTCCCTGCTCTGGGGATTTAAAACAAGTTTGTTTAGTCCTTTGGGCAGATACTTCCTTAGGAATGCCGGTGTAAGACAAAGTTCACATTTTAATGCCATATGTTGTCAGTCACCAAGAGAAAGCGTCTCTTGGGCACAAACCAGGTCCCCAGCCTTTGTCACACAGAAAAAATAAACACCCTTCGAGGAGTTAATTAGGCGGTCAGGGGCCACACCAGCGTCCTACCAGGGCTGCCCGCAGACCTTTTAAACAAGCACACACTCTCACAGACACACAAAAGGAGGCGCTTGTTAAATGTCACAAGCTGGGCATCTGGAGTCCGACCCCTAAGGTAAAGGCATTCTGTGGACGCATTCCTCAGATGTCAGGCCACAAAACCGCTGGTTTCCACAAGTACATCGTCTCATTTCTAAGATTCCCCCAGCCCAAGGGGTGGGGGAGAGCAAGAGTCGCAAAAAAATGGAGCCAAAGGGAAGCAGGGCTTGCAGGCTACTCACCGGCTAGCAGCGCCTCGGCGACGCGAGCATGACTTCCCGGCGCCCGGAGCCTGCAGGGGCCGCGCAGCCGGCACGGCGGGCCCCGCTTAAATAGCCGCCGGCCGAGCTCGAGCCGCGCGGCCACTCCCGGCCAGAGATATGGTTCTAATCAGATGCTGGCAGCTGAGGACTCCCCAGGAATGTGCCGGGATGTTTTTGCTGCCTGAGCTGGGTAACTCCCCCTCAACGTGTCTGCTGAGTCTTCCAAACTTAACTGTTTATTAACTCGCGCCGCGGTGGCCCAGCTCCCCCGGGCTCCGCGCGCCCCGCCAGCTGGGGGCGATCGCAGGGACGCGGGTGACCGGGCAGAGGAGAGCGTCTCGGGAGGGCGAAAGCCCGGGGCCTGTCCGGCGCGGGGGACGGGGGTGGGGGCAGTGCGGGGGAGGGGGCAAATAAGGACAGGAAGGGGAAACTCTGCAGGAAAGGGGTGGGACCCACCGAGCTGCACTTCACAAATCCGTCCCTGAATCGCCACTTCCAGCGATGTGGCACACGAAGTCGTCCCGACCCATTGGGGCCCTTTGAACAAAGAGCTGCCTTTACTCTCGACTTTTCTGACAAGGAGCGGTGGAGTCCTAGTCGGATCTGCGGTGTCTCAAGTTGGGCAAGCGATGGCTCCCTTTAAAGAAGTCTCATTGCAGATGAGGGTGCACTTAAATTGGTGGGGAATCTATGCGTGTATATACAAAATATAGTGTATTTATATGTGAAACATAATCCTGTATACACAGACATAAAACCAATACCCTCTCTGTGAAATCGATATAAACAAAATATGTTCATGTTTATATGACCTATTTAAATAAGCTTATGTCTGATATAAACAGAGATTATACACTGGCTTCCCTTACAGTGTATATACAGCTATACGTACACACATAACATGACTTTATCTGTATTAATTTCCATAACATTTCCTATATCTTTCTGAAAAACATGAGCTGTAAGAAATAAAATATTTAAAAATATTGACATTCAAGTACGGTGCTCAGCCACAAGGGCACTCCACAGCATATCCTAGCCTACGTTAACAAGCTAGTGATTAATTTTCTCCATATTTTAAAATCAGGAACAATTGTAAAACATCTATGGAAGTTTTGTTTTTTTAAAAGAATTATGAAATTATTCCTGTGAAAGCCATGTCTCTCTCTTTCTTCTTCTTCTTCTTTTTTTTTTTTTTAAGCAGGGTATAGTAAACATGTAAATGCCAAATTTTGTCTCGGATGGGAGGGAGTTATTGATTTTATTGACCAAGCAGCACAGTGGATTTGCATTTTACCTCTGGAAACTGAGAGTTCAAATCAGGCTTTCATGGGACACCAAGGATGTATTTTGTGGTCCACGCCTAGCCCCCACTGCAAAACCACTGTATAATTTGGGGTAACTAAATGTGAGTGGCAGTGTCTGCCCTCAAGTAGGTCAGGCTTGGAACAGCAAGCCTACAGGGGGAGTGAGGGGTCCAGAAGCAGCACAGCTGGCCAAGGCGTCTACCAGGACTGTTTCTGCCGTAGGTATCACCCCAGTGGGGATAGGGAGCATTAAGCTGATAGTTTTCAATATTCCTCTGAGGTAATTTGCTGTTATTTTAAAAAATGAGCCATGGTGGCTCACGCTAGTAATCCCAGCACTTTAGGAGGTTGAGGCTGGAGGATCACTTGAGGCCATGAGTTCAAGACCAGCCTGAGTAGCATAGTGAGACCCCAAGCTCTACCAAAATAATAATAATAATAATAATGATTTGTGCATGATGGTGCAGTGCCTAACTACTGGGGAGGCTAAAGGGAGAAGATCGCTTGAGCCCAGGAGTTGGAGGTTGCAAGTGAGCTATGATCATGCCACTGCACTCCAGCCTAGACAAGAGTGAGATTATCTGTTAAAAAAAAATTTTAATATTGAATTTAAAAAGTGGCTACATGTGAATGATAAGAGGTATATCAATTTTAGTCATAAGATGGTACTTAGAATATTTTTGCAGAGAACTTTAATTCTGGTACATCTTAGATCACAGGGCTTTATTTCTAAAATCCAGAAGTCCAGAGGGATGGTGCCAATTTCAGGCAAATAGAGGCTTTAACAATTTTAAAGAAATAGGTTTCTTTTTTAACCTCCATATATAATATTTTCTCATTTCAGAAGTACCTATGCAAACCTATTTTTCTTCTCTTTTTTTTTTTTTGAGATAGTCTCATTTGTCACCCTCCGTAGAGGGCCATGGCTTCATGGCTCACAGCAACTTCAAACTCTTGGGCTCAAGTGATTCTCTTGCCTCAGCCTCCCAAGTAGCTGGGACTGCAGGCACCTGCCACAACACCCGGCTACTTTTTTGGGGTCCCACTGTTGCTCAACCTGGTCTCCAACTCGTGAGCTCAAGCCATCCACCCACCTCGGCCTCCCAGAGTGCTAGTATTATAGACTTGAACCCCCAAATCTATTTTTTAAATTGAAAGACTTTTATCAGAAATATTAAGTTTATGTGTTACATCCCCACCAAATGAAAGAGATTTGTGGAAGTAGCTAGAGGAAGAAAATGATTTCATCTATTATAAGCCATGGTTTCAAGAGATGTTAGTGAAAAGAGCTCATTTATGAGCAGTGGACTCAAACACACTGGTGTGTGTTAAAATGGACACCTCTTGTTTCAGACAGGAATCTGAAGAGCTGACTGTGGAGAATTCTGGTTGGAAATGTATTTTTATATCTCTAGGGCACTGATATTGCTTCTGGCAGTAATTCAATGTCCTGCTCACATTAAGGAAAAAAAGAAAATACATTTAATTCTTTTTATCCCTGGTGAAACATTGTTTCTGTCACATCTAAGTTATTTTCTTTCTATTAGTTCTAAAATGCACGTCTTTCCGTCTGGAGAATCACACCAAAGCCCACCCAGAGGTTCACCCTGCCCAAACCGTGGACTTTCCTTATCACCGTTGAAATTCACGCTTAGAAAATTAAGATGAGGAAAATTCAATGCGATGTTAAAAACTATGGTCCTTAAATGACAGTTGTTCTTTGTGAAAAACGTGCCTTTGAAGGAGGGAGAAGGAAAACATAAAATAAAGCAAAAGACTCTGCTCCCAGCCCAGGAAAAGGGTAGTTAATCTCGTGATGGCTTGCTGAAGAATGCATGGTTTATTATTAAAGTAATCTCTTAAGATTTCCCTGGAATGTGCTTCCACGGCAACTCTGCCTGTTCAGGCTATCCTCTGTATGTGTCTTTTCCTCCATAATTAAGCTATTTCTCCCCTCCCCCTTTAGCTCGCAGGCCTAATACTTCCCTCCTTCCCCACCTCTTCTGCTCTCCTCTACTGTTCCTGTCTCATCCCTCCCTTTTTTTCTTTTTGAAATAGAGTCTTATTCTGTTACCCTGGGTAGAGTGCTGTGGCATCATCGTAGCTCACAGCAACGTCAAATGCTTGGGCTCAGGCAAGCCTCTTGTCTCAGCCTCCCCAGTAGCTGGGAGTATAGGCATCTGCCATCACACCTAGCTAGTTTTTCTAGTTTTAGTAGAGATGTGGTGTCACTCTTGCTCAGGCTGGTTTGGAATTGCTGAGCTCAAGGGATCCACGCGCCTCAGCCTCCCAGAGTACTAGGATTACACTGCGCCCGGCTAAAGTTCTTGTCTTCCTCAAACTTCCCATTTTGAATCTTGCTATCTCCCATAAATTGTAAATGGTACTTTGGGACTGACCTGAAGGTGAATTGTCTGAGCACCCTGATGCCTGGCCAGACACTTAGAGATGTTCACATCAGACAAGGATGGGTGGATGTAAATCAAGCAAGCTCACATTTCTTTTTTTCCTCATATCACTTTTTTTTAAAAATGAGGAGACTTGCTATTATTCCCCGAAAATATCCTTTAACCTTGACTGGTCCTGCATATTTAACACTGCAGTGATCGTATCGGATTTGGCAGCTGGCAAGGCAGGGCAAACATGAGAGGTTTTTCATGTCTCTATCTTTCTGCCCATCTAATCTATTTGGAGGATAGCCTCATTGCAGACAGTCTGTTTTTGTTTTGTTTTCTTGCTTACATTCTCATAGCACCTCAGAACTCAAAATTTTCTTGTTTTATGCAATATTAGTGAAAATTGGGTGACAGAGCCCTATAAAGAATACTTGGAAAAATTAGAATGTTGCAAATGAAGCACATTTAAAATTCAATATCATAAATTTATATGATTAATTACATTTTGTTTACTAATATAAATTTTCATAGTGAGAAATTATAAAGAGGAAATAATCTATGAATTACTATTCAAATAAATACTATCTTCTTTGGAAAGCAAACTGACAAATGTTATAAAAAATAAGAATACATAAACTCCTGCAAGAATACTAAGATCAATCATTATTGTCTCAAACCCACAGTCATCTATGCTATGAGTAAGAGTCTATCCTGTAAAAAATAAAGCGTATATGTAACGTATATGTAATGGGGAATGACTGAATAAGTTATGATCCATCCCCACTGTGAGATCATATGCAAACATTTAAAAGAATAAACTGAAGCCAAACCTTGAAATATGGGAGTATTTCTATAGGTTTTGTTGAGTGAGAAAAGCAAGATGCAGGAAAACAAATTGTAGAATATGTTTCTGTTTTAGAAATACAAAAAGAAATACCTATTTGGGCAGTGCCTGTGGCTCAGTGAGTAGGGTGCCAGACCCATGTACCAAGGGTGGCAGTTTTGAACCCAGCCCCCACCAAACTGCAATAAAAAAAAAAAAATCTGGGTGTTGTGGTGGGTACCTGTAGTCCCAGCTACTTGGGAGGCTAAGGCAAGAGAATCGCCTAAGCCCAAGAGCTGGAGGTTACTGTGAGCTGTGATGTCACAGCACTCTACTGAGGGCAACAAAGTGAGAGTCTGTCTCTAAAAAAAAAAAAAGAAAGAAACACCTACTCATATATGTTGAGCAATCTCATGTTTGTATGTGTGTGTGGGGATTATAAAGGAGACTAGAGACTAGGCTGCAAGAGGTTGCTAGGGGCCTGGTAGGAGATAAGTGCAGACAAAGGAGGTGGGAGCCTTGCAAAAAGGAAATGAAAATAGTTTACAGGCATATATAGACAGAGATCACATTATGTATCAAGACAAATGATATATGCATAGGTTTATGTAATTTAAAAAATAATACCATAATATAAGGAAAGGGTTGTAAAACAAACCCTACGAAATAGCGTCCATGGATGTCTACCTCTAGGCCATTCAAAACTGGTATTCATCAGTATTATCATTATTTTATTCATCCTCAAAAGCAGTAGCTTTCAAGTTTTAATGTTCACAGCAGCCATCCCGGAAGCTGAATAGAAGGGCAGATTCCTGGGTCCAGACTCAGAGACCCCTCTGGAAAGGAGTATGCATGAGTACCTGGGAATCTGTGTGTTTAAAGAGCATTTCCAGATAATTCTGACACCATAGTCTCAGGGACTACACTTTGAAAAACACCACATTTCTCCTGTGGCCAGGAAGATATTTCACTTTGCTGTTCTGTACAGGATGAGAACTATGTAGAGAGAGCAAGAGGGATTCACTCACACTCAAAGCCACAAGACTGGCTACCAGTCCTCTTTCTCTGCTTGGCTCTTGGAAGCCTCAGACAGGATGCAGGCTCTCCTCCTGGTGTCTTTTCTCCCTGAACTTCCTCATGAAAGCTTACTTCAAAGAAGGAGCTGATAGCAGCTATTGCTCCTGACATATGTCCAGGTATTTACATTTTCAATCCCATTCCTTTCGATGAAATAAAAGGCACTTCTTTTTTTTTTTTTTTGAGACAGAGTCTCCCTCTGTCATCCTTGGTAGAGTGCTCATAGCAACCTCCAGCTCTTGGGCTTAGACTATTGTCTTGCCTCAGCCTCCCGATTAGCTGGGACTACAGGCATCCACCAAAACGCCTAGCTTTTCTGTTGTTGTTGTTGTTTGGCTGGGGCCAGGTTTAACCCAGCCATCCTTGGTATATGGGGCTGGCACCCTACTCACTGAGCCACAGGCACCGCCCAAAAGGCACTTCTTATTGTTAAAGAGGTCTCAGGCATCTCTGTAAGAGCAGGGACAGATTTTTTTTTTGTCCTTTATCTTTTAGTAGGTGCAGGCAATTGTCGATTCTGCCCTATACTCAGATTAAAAGTACCCCCCAAAAGAAAAGAATACAGGGTTTACAATTCCTGGGATGACCCTCACTGCTCCTGAGATCATACTACATTTTGGCTTCAAAGTGGCCATTTGAAAATTAAAAGTATATATTAGGATCCTGATTGCCTTCATGATGTAGCACAGGAAAGTGCGATTTAGAATCAGATCTGGGTCAGTAAGAGCTTGATCTCCTCCTAACTACGAGATTTAATGCAAGTCACCTCACTTCTCAAGGAATCAATTTCCTTATTTATAAATGAACACTCTCCCATTTTGATCTTTGGTGGGAAGCAAAAGTAACCATATTCATGGAGGGATTGTGGAAATTTTAACACTAGAAAGATGCAGTAAATCACGTAGAATGTGTGCAAAAATACATGATTGCTAGGCAGGTGTTCTTGTCCTGAATTTTTTCTACTATCCATATCAGAAATTCCATCCTTAGTAAATCATGTGTTTAGATAACTACCTTGCTCTGGCTGTGGTGAAATTTCTTAAGGCTGACCCTGACCCTGTAAGTGGAAAAGTTCTAAAACCTGATTTTCTAACCTATCAGTGAAGATTAGTTTAACATATCAATCTCATCCCACCAAAGAGAAATGAGCGACTTTGTGCCGAAATGGGGATATTGAAAGAGACGAAAAGGCAGAAAATAAGAAAATGGGTGTTAAAAATCAACCTCACTTATTTCTGAGATTCATTTGTACTACTGAGAAAGGAGTCTAACCTCCACAGACTTTCTTTTTCTTTTTCTTTTTTTTTTTTTTTTGAGACAGAGACATGACAACACAGTACCCTCAAAATCTTTGGCTAAAGCGATTCGCTTTCTTCAGCCCCCAAGTGGCTGGGACTACAGGTACCCACCACAATGCCTGGCTATTTTTTGTTGTTGCTGTTGTCGCCGTTGTCATTGTTGTTTTAGCTGGCTCCAGGCCAGGTTTGAACCTGTCAACCTCGGTGTGCCTGGCCAGCACCCTAAACACTGAACTACAGGGTGCCGCCCTTTTTTTTTGAGACAGAGTCTCACTCAGTCACCCTGCGTAGAGTGCTGTGCCATTATTGCTCACTGCAACCTCAAGTGATCCTTTTGCCTCAGCCTCCCAAGTAGCTGAGACTATAGGTGCCCACCCAATGCCTGGCTATTTTTTAGAGATGGGGTCTTGCTGTTACTCAGGCTGATCTTAAAATCCTATAGTCAGATAATCCACCAGCCTCGGCCTCTGATAGTGCTAGGATTATAGGTGTGAGCTACTGTGCCTGGCCTGACAGACTTTCAATTCAGTCCAAAAAACCTTCTCCTCCATTAGGCTCCAGGAGTGCTGTGGTGGGCGGAAGGGCAGCTGACACTCCGGATGTCCTCGTTCTGTGTTCCTTGGTGAGCCCAGAGAGAACATGGTGGTAGGTATCCAACAGTTCAGTCACAAAGGGATCTGGTGGTGGGAATGCAGGTATCTGTGGCTGTGATCTGACATTTTCAACTGAGACAAATAAAACAACAACAACAACAACAAAAACCCAAAACAAAAAATAAGAAACCTTGCCCTCCACTGCACTGTGTGCATGTGATATGCTTAGGTTCCTGGACTGGCTTACTGGCCTCAATTCTAAAGTGGAATGGCCACTTGTGAATCAAGAAGGAATGTTATTTGCTGTTTTCAGGTAATACCCAGGCTCAAAGATCACTTTCTTTTTTTTAAGGCAAAGTCTTACGTTGTGTAGAGTGCCTATGGTGTCATATCTCACAGCAACCTCAAACTCTTAGGCTCAAGTGATCATCTTGCCTCAGCTTCCTGAGTAGCTGAAACTACAGGTGCCTGCCACAACATCCAGCTAGTTTTTCTATTTTTAGTAGAGATTAGTTCTTGCTCTTGCTCAGGCTAGTCTCAAACTCCTGAGTTCAAGCAGTCTACCTGCTTCAGCCTCCCAGAGTGCTAGGTTTATAGGTGTGAGCCACAGTGCCTGGCCCAAAGATCGTTTTTTAGTTAGAGAATGGAGGGAGCCATATCTGGATCCAGGGGGATTTACCTCCCTATCACTGTGAAGATTATGCATATGTGTGTGCCCATGCATAAGTGCATTTTCTGGGGAGATAGACAGTAGAGATTTCACTGGATTATCAAAGGACCTTATAGCATAAAACAAGGTTAAATTCCATTGCATTAAGAATTTATAGCCATTCCACATTCTTTCTATTCATTTTTATCTGATGATTTTTATCTAAATCTTATATTTATCCTCATAACATCATTGTCAAACAGGCTAGGGCAAGTACTCCTGTTTCCAAAGGTTAAGAAATGTAACTGCAGAAACTTTGATTTACTTCTGTTTACAGTGAGAGAAACAGAGCTAGAACTATTACCCAAGACTTCCGAATGAGCTCAGGTAGCCAAGACTTCAACATAATTCTAGTGGATAGTGACAATTCACAAGGTTCACTGTACCCGTGTTGGTCTGCCCACACCTGGAGAGGCATTTTCTGTTAGGCGTATCTTTCCACATAAAGACACTGGCAAAGGGAACAGTGTCAAAAGCAGGGTCACTTGGACACTGAGGGGACCTCCTTGGAACTAGAACTGCTGAGAACTCTGCCAGTGTGTCCTAACTGAAATGTACATCTGTAGCCAGGCAAGAGAACCCGAGACCTTTAGCATGGGGAAAGGAGGGAGATCTGTGACTGATAAAGCTCTTTCCTAATACTCAAATCTTGTCATGAGAAAAGTGGATCAGAGTTCTCTCCTTGGCTACAGAATGGAGAAAGGGATCCTGTGCAGGGCTGAGTAGAGTTCCCCAGCATTCATGTCCCCCTCAAACCTCAGAATGTGCCTTATTTGGACATAGGGACTTTGCAGATGCAATTGTTTATTTTATTTTATTTTATTGTATTGTTTGAACAGAGTCTCACTATGTTGCCCGTGGTAGAGTGCTGTGGCATCACAACTCACAGAAACCTCCAACTCTTGAGTTTAAGTGATTCTCTTGTCTCAGCCTAAGTGATTCTCTTGCCTCAGCCTAAGTAATTGGGATTATAGGCGCCTGCCACAATACCCAGCTGTTTTTTGGTTGCAGTTGTTGTTGCTGTTTAGCAGACCCAGGCTGGGTTCAAACCAGCCAGCCCTGGGGCATGTGGCTGGCACCATAACCACTGTGCCATGGCCGCCAAGCCAGTGTAATTATTTAAATAAAGTCACACTGGATTATATGAAGTCCCATCACCTTCAGTGAAACCTTTTTATCTGCCTCATAATATTTTTTGTTCAGAAATCTGGCTTTTTAAATTAGTTCTATTTTGCATTTAGCACAACTCTGGAAACAGCTTATCTAGGTATGAATCCTAGCTCTGTGGCTTACCAGTTGTGTGATCTGGGAAATACTGCTGAACTACAAAGTAAGGGAAATAATAGAACTCCCTCCACAGTGTTGTCATCAGGGTTAAGTAAGTATGTCTTAAGGGCTTATAGTAGTAGTTCATAATAATTAACACAGTACAATGTGAATGATAACGTGAATTTGTCCAAACATCTTAAAAGGGTAATTTTAAAAAATCAAATACATTTGGCTCAGCGTCCTTAGCACAGTGGTTATGGAGACACCCACATACACCCACACTGGCACATTTAAACCCCTCCTGGGCCTGCCAAACAACAATGACAACTGCAACCAAAAAACTGGCTGGCCATTGTGGTGGGCACCTGTAGTCCCAGCTACGCAGGAGGCTGAGGTAAGAGAATTGCTTAAACCCAAGAGTTTGAGGTTGCTGTGAGCTATGATGCCAAGGCACTGTACCAAGGGTGACATAATGAGACTCTTGTCTCAAAAAAAAAGAAACAAGTAAATTGAAAAGTAAGCTTACCCTGAAAGTCAGAAATTTTACTTCTAGAACAAGCTGGAGAAACTCCTACTCATTTGCCAAGAAATACATCTAAGGATGCTTAGAATAGCAAAAAGTGGAAACAATTTAAATGCCTTTCAAAAAGAGAATAGACAAATTGCAGTTCATGCATCCATTGGGAATATTCTGACAATAATAGGAATGGTGTGTATTCCTATTATTGTTAGTGATAATATAAACAATAACATTATTGTGAAAGATTGAGTAAGCAGAACGAGTTACAGAAGGAGACATAAAGCATAATACCATTTATATATGATTTATTTATTTGATTAATTTCTTTTTTTGAGGCAGAGTCTCACTTTGTTGCCCTGTTAGAGTGCTGTGGTGTCATAGCTCATAGCAACCTCAGATTCCCAGGCTCAAACGATTCTCTTGCCTCAGTCTCTCTAGTAGCTGGGATTACAGGTCCCTGCCACAACATCTGGCTATTTTAGAGACTGATTTTGCTCTTGCTCAGGCTGGTCTTGAACCTTGAGCTCAGGAAATCTGCCTGCCTCGGCCCCTTAGAGTGCTGGAATTACAGGAATGAGCCACTGTGCCCGGCCCTTATACATGGTTTAAAATATGAAAAATAAAACTATTTTTTACTTAGAGATACAAATATTGATATAAATATGAAGGAAACAGGGGTGAAAAATCACAAATTCAAGATGGTGGTTGCCTCTGAGAAAAGGTAAGTGGATAAATAAAAGGAAGCTAGAGTCATACTGATAATTATTTTCCCTTTGATACTGGGTACATGAGTGGATATTGTTTTACTTTTATGTCTGTTTACATAGATATTTTTCTGAGTACTTCACAGATAGTAGTCTTTTCAGGTCTTAGAACAGTCCTGTGAGTTAAAACCTACTCTCTCAATTTTACAGATGTAGAAACTGACTAAGGTCATGGAAAAAGTTATTGGCAGAGTCAGGCTTCAAGCCCAGGTAGTCTGGTTCCAGGGTCTCTATTTCTAATCCCTATGCAACACCAACTCTCATCAGAATTGTATATATTTGTGTGTGTGTGTGTGTGTGTGT